ACAAGTTAATTTTTTCCAGAAAGATACTGGAAAAATTTGACATAGCTGATACACTTGGTAAATTCACAATTTGTTTAAATAATGAAAGCATAAGGTATTTGCTATAAGCTCCAGGGAACTCTAGCATGTTTATTTTAATAATTCCTTTGGGAGTTGATCATACTCTGTATCATATATATGTAGATATCTACATATATATATGCATGCTTAATGAATATGTTTTATAACCTATGTCACCTTTGAATTGCAAATGAGTATCATTTCCATTAATGAGTTTATTCACATGGAGACTATACTTGCAAATATTTGAAGAGGCCACTTCCCAACTGGAACTGCTGAGTTGAAATAACAGTACTAACAAAGTACTGTAATTGTATGTCAATAAAAGGTAAGTAACTTTACCAAAACATTGTAGCTCAATGAAAAATATATCATTTTGATCTTAAGGCAACAATGAATGATTATTTTGATGAATTAATATGAACAAGCGTATTTAGTCTTGGTAAAAGACTCATCTGTAACTAATGAAAAAAATCTTACATATCTGATCTGAGAAGTGAGTTTTATAGTTTGAACATACATTTTTGCAAGACAAATATATGGGTCAGGGGAAATCACAGTGGGATTTTTTAAAGGACAGAAGGAGAGAGACAGGTACAGAATGATCTCACTCATATGTGGGATATAAGTAAATATAGTAGGGGAATAACAAATGCCCAAAGGCAAGAGAAATTGAGAACCAGTCTTCTCTAGGAAGCTGGAGGAGAAGAGGTAGAAGGAATAGGATAGAATAGGACATTGGCACAGCAAGGAAGGGAGGCAGTCATTCTGGTGGAAGGTGTGGTGCTGCATGATTTGTGCCAGAAACCCTACCATCAACAGTATTGTAAACCATGGTACCTACCATAAAATTTCCAAAGAATAAAACATAAAATTAAAAGTGACAAAACAATGTAGAGTATGAAAAAATTACGGGAAAGTTAGATTTTCTCTGAACTAAGTCTACCATTTACTGTAGCACTGTAACACTGTCCTCCCATTGTTTATCAATTTGCTTGAGCGGGCACCAGTAGCATCTCCATTGTGAGACTTGTTGTTACTGTTTTTGGCATATCAAATATGCCACAGGGAGCTTGCCAGGCTCTGCCATGCAGGCAGGATACTCTGGGTAGCTTGCCGGGCTCTCCACGAGGAATGGAGGAATCGAACTGGGTCGGCCACGTGCAAGGCAAACACCCTACCTGCTGTACTATCACTCCAGTCCATTTGTGAAGTCTTAAATATAAGCTAACCATATCTCAGATATATAAAATAGAAAAGGTTTACTTCTTTTATCTTATGTAGTAATGTTCCTATGCTTTAACTTTGATATTTTGAGTATTTCAAAACAAAAAACATTTATGAAATGTTAATAACAAATATTTTCAAAAACATAATTCAAGTCTATACACATTTTTAATGATAATAGTTTACAGTAACTTTAGTAATGGGGGTGGGAAGATACAATTGAAGAAAACTTATATATTCCACTCTCTCTAGCTAAAAAGAGGATACAGCTATCGATACCAAGCCCTTCCCAAACAAAAAGAAAATTTCACATCTAATTCCACCTCTATTTTTAAGAGATACCACCATGAGGAGAGGAATGTTTGGGGAGGCCATTAGGGTCTTAAAAAAACAAAAAGTAATAATAAGAGGACTTGCCAATAGCTTTCCTGACTACAAACAATAATAGGGCAGAAAATTTCAATGAAAGGAAGCTAAGGGTCATAGTGGACTACCATAATTAGAGTTTGTAGAATATGAAAGTCAGAAGGAGCCACCAGGAATCATGTTAATTCAAGCCCTTTTATCCCCCACAATCTTGGCACAGAGGGAAATTGAGTGCTAAGAGGAGCAGGCAGTCACTTATCAAAGGCCATGTGTGACCATGCTGAACCACCCTCTCTTGTTCTTTGGATTCACCATATTAATTTTCCTCACATTTAAGAGAACTTGACTGAATACTTGCGTCTTGATTGTGTTTTTATTTATTTTAAATACTAGTAGAGATAAGTCTCTTGATTCTGTAGATGAGCAAAAAGAAACTCAGAATTTCACTAGCTTGCCAAAGGTCACAAAATCGTGGCAAAGTTCTTTTTGTCTTTGTCAGCTCATCTCCTTTGCTAACCTGCTAAAATGTACAAGGAGCCATCCATTTAGCAGTGTTCAAATTAACTTTATTCAATGTATTCAATTCAAATTAACATCAGATGGAAAGTGGAAGGAAATCTAGGGAGTGACATTTTTCATACTTGAAAATACCTCCAAATCATAAACTTTTTTTTTTTTTGCAGAAGGGTTTGAGCTGTACCTTCTTGTGCTTTGGTTCTAAATATAGTGCCTGCTCAGCTCTATATGTTTTATTCCCATGACAGAATGTGGAAATAGAAAAGTGTGTGCATACTGATTTAGAGGGGCTGGAGCGATAGCACAGAGGGTAGGGCATTTGCCTTGCACATGGCCGACCCAGGTTCGATTCCTCCATCCCTCTCAAAGAGACCGTCAAGCTACTGAGAGTATCCCGCCTGTGCGGCAGAGCCTGGCAAGCTGCCCGTGGCATATTTGATATGCCAAACGCAGTAACAACAAGTCTCACAATGGAAACATTACTGGTGCCCGCTGGAACAAATGGATGAACAACTGGAGGACAGTGCTACATAACACTGTTACAATAGTGTTACCTTTTAAGATTTTGATGTAAACTGGATTTTTTCACCACTACTAAAATTGCCCTAGACATTCAACCATTGTCCTTCGGTTATTTTCAGTTCACCTCTCACTTCAGTGCTTGGTAATTTTTGTAACCTAGGCCAAGGATTTGACATCATTTAATATTGTCTATTCCCATGGTTTGTTTCTCTATATACCATTGTGGAATCACGTAATAATAGTGCAAACTATCTACTTTACATATTCATAGTATTTGACTATATACACATTTTATTAATAAAATTAATGTTTCTTCAGTATACTCAACTCATTTCACCATCAATATTTCTGATTTTAGTAATTTTGAAACTTTTTGTAAATAGGAATTTTTTAAAATAGGAAATTTTGTAAATAGGAGAAATGTTACCTATTTTTTCTAAAGCTACTAACCTGTTCCATCTTTAAAACCAGCATTTTCACATTTTTAATTGGTTAATAAATGTATGTATGCTTATACTTATACCATTTTAGAAGCAAATCTGATTTTTCACATTGGACCTTTCGTTTTTAGACCATCACTAGCAATGCTAGGCGTTAATTCTGGCTCTGCACTCAGGAGTTTCTCCTTGTGCACAGGATCCATATAGTGCTGATGAGTGGTCCAGGGTCAGTTACATGCAAACTCTTATATTCCATACTATCCAGCTCAGACTGCTACAAGTAAAAGCACCAATGCATTATGGAACTCATAATAGCACTGCACTGCCCTCCCGTTGTTCATCGATTTTTGCTTGAGCAGGCACCAGTAACGTCTCCATTGTGAGACTTCTTTTTACTGTTTTTGGCATATCAAATACATCATGGGTAGCTTACCAGGCTTTGCTGTGAGGGCGGGATACTCTCGGCAGCTTGCCGGACTCTCTGAGAGAGATGGAGGAATCAAACCTGGGTCAGCCACGTGCAAGCAAAACCCTACTCGTGTGCTATCACTTCAGCCCGTGGAACTTATATGTAACTCAATACTCATATGATATAGAGCAACACAAACACATACACCAAACAATTCAAGATCAATAGAAACCATTACACTTTTCTGGATCTGCTATGTAGGTGCATTTATGGGGAAAAAACAGATAGAAATTACTTTATTTTGAGCAAAGATTTATAGTAATGGTAATCTACAATCATAGTTTAAAAGAATAGAGACATGTTTTTGTATTTAGTCAAATAAATGGCAGAGCAAAGTTGGCTCTTCCCAATCACAGACCATGCTTCCAGTCTGAACTGAAGGTTTTGCTGGAGGAAAAATCAAACACTGCCTATTGCAATTCTATTTCCTAGTACCATTTTGGTCCTACACTATTTGTACAATAGAGAACTTTATTTTTTTTAATTTTATATATAAGAACTATGTATTTAAAAAGAGTCAGTCTAATTTTCTAATCTGTGACTATAGGTTGAAAATTAGATATTGCATTATTTTATAAAAAGGTAAAAGGTAAAGGCCCTCCCGTTGATCATCGATTTGCTCGAGCGGGCCCAGTAACATCTCCATTGGAGACTGTTGTTACTGTGTCTGGCATATCCAATACTCTCGGTAGCTTGCCGGGCTCTCCGAGAGGGGCGGAGGAATTGAACTCGGGTCGGCCATGTTGGCCGCTTGTAAGGCGAACGCCCTACCCACTGTGCTATCGCTCCAGCCCCTGGAGCGATAGCATTATTTTATATAAGAAATAAATTTAAATTCTAAAGACGTTAGAGAAAAAGTTTCCAACAAATAATAAGACATGACTAGAACTTAAATCTTAACATTTGGTTTAGTTCTTTTCTAAAGTAAATCTAAAAAAATTCCCAAAGACATTCTAAAGAATAGCTAAAGAGGGGATGTGACTCAGTGGAAGTATATATACTCACAAGACTCACATGTGTCATGCCCTGGAGTTCCATCCCAGCAAATAATAATAAATACAATAGTTTTTATAAAGGAGAAGATAAAGAAAGCTGAACAAGCTCTAAATCAAAACAAAAAGTAGTTAATTTAGGTCAAAGAATTATAGAATGTATAGAATGTATAGCAGCAAACAAAATTGCATAATAAATTTCTCATAATCTATGCATTTGTAGCTTGAAGAACATTTAATTGAATGTTGCTTGTATTTAAAAGCTAAACTTCTTTTCCAGGTGTCCTTCTTCTCTCTTCTATAAGAGTCAAATACTACTTTCTATATGCCCACACATTCAAAACTACCACAGGTTAAATAATTTCCTTATTTTTTATTTTGAAGACTGAAAACTCCTACATAGACTAAATGAATATGATGAATAGCTCAGTGATAACCGAGTTTGTGTTACTGGGTCTCAGCAGTAATGAGAAACTTGAACTTTTCTTTTTTTTCATATTTCTGTTGGCCTACTCAGCAATTATGGCAGGAAACCTTCTCATTGTGGTCACCGTAACCTTTGATTCTCACCTGCACTCCACACCAATGTACTTCCTCCTGGGAAATCTCTCCTTTCTAGACATGTCTATTTCAACAATAACAACCCCAAAGATGATCGCAGATTTTCTCAGGAAGAATAAAACTATTTCTTTGTGGGGTTGTATGGCTCAAATGTTCTTCCTTCACTTCCTTGGAGGTACTGAAATGACTCTTCTCATAATTATGGCTGTTGATCGGTATGTTGCTATTTGTAAACCTCTTCACTACACAACCATCATGAACCAGCGGGTACTAGTGGGTTCTGTTCTGCTCTCATGGGCTGTTGGTTTTGTGCATACCATGAGTCAGATGGTTTTTACCATAACTTTACCCTTCTGTGGTCCCAATGTAGTGGACAACATTTTCTGTGACCTTCCTCTAGTTTTAAAGCTTGCCTGCACTGAAACCTATGTTTTGGAGTTGCTGGTAATTGCTGACAGTGGACTGTTGTCTTTTATCTGCTTTGTACTCCTGCTCATATCCTACACTATCATTCTAATAACTGTCCGAAATCGATCCTCTGGAGGGCTCTCCAAAGCTCTGTCCACATTGTCTGCTCATATTACTGTGGTGACTCTGTTCTTTGGGCCATGCATCTTCATTTATGCTTGGCCATTCAGCGGTTTTTCAGTGGACAAATTTCTTTCTGTGTTTTATTCAGTTATTACCCCCCTACTGAACCCCATTATTTATACTCTTAGGAATCAAGAAATGAAAGCAGCAATGAGCAGATTGAGAACCCAACATGTCACTTCGAGACATATGCTTTAGGCAAGAATTGAGCATATGAAAAATTCTTCCACAAAATCTGCATATATTATAGAAAAATAAAAAATTCTTGCACAAAATCTGCATATACTATATCTCAGAATAAGTTGACATTTATTTTCTTTGCTGATGTTTTTAAATATTTGCAATATAAAGATATTGTTATATTCTCATTTTTCTATAATATTTGATACTGAAAGAAAATCTATTTTAATTTAAATTCTATTGTTTGAGATTAAAAACAAAAAATAATTTTTAAGTGCAACAAATGTCATATATAGATAAAACATGTTTTTAATTACTGTTGGAAACCAGACATCGATTTACTCGAGCGGGCCCGGTAACGTCTCCATTGGAGACTTTGTTGTTACTGTGTCTGGCATATCGAATACCTCACAGGGAGCTTGCCAGGCTCTGCCGTGCGGGTGAGATACAGACATGTCCAATATTAAATTTCATTAAGTAAATAAAAATAAAATATGGAATTTTGTGTATGTGTAATTCAAAATTTTGTATAGCTCAGCTAAATTCTCTAGTCATGAATGTGAACAAATTGTGTAAACATTTTAAAAGTCACAATCAGGGACCAGACAAATAGTACAGCAAGTAAGGCATTTGCTTTAAATAAGTCCGACACAGTTTGGATCCTCAGCTCCATGTATAGTTCCCTAAGTACTATAGGAAATAATCCTGAGCACAAGTCAGGAGTACTCCTGGAGCACAGTTGGGTATAGTCCATAAAACAAAATAAATAAGTGAAAGTCATAATCATATCACAATCATGACCACCCTGTTGTTCGTCGATTGCCTCGAGCAGGTGCCAGTAACGTCTTCTTCGTCCTAGCCCTGAGAATTTTTTTTTAAAGTGCCATATTCAAGGCTTTTTCAGGGTTAGGAGAATGAGACCCATCATTGTTACTGGTATTTGGCACATTGGGTATACCATGGGGAGTTTGCCAGACTCTGCCGTGTGGGCAGGTTACATTTGGTAGCCTGCCAATTTGTCCAAAGTAGGAATGAGATGATAAGATGTTGGAGTTACACAGCAGTTGGTGGGTGTAACTGTCTAGTTACTGGCAGGTCCAGTCCCAAACCCAACAACAGCCAGGATCCAGAGATTATCACACTCAGCTCCCGGGAGAGAACAAGGCAGAGTCTCCTACCCTGTGCCTGACTGTCTCCACCAGGACCCAACAGCTGAAGACCTCCGGGGCCCAGCCAAGGCCATGCTGGGACCACTCTCCACACACCTGGATGAGCCTCACGCATAAAAGAACTGGCAGAGGAACCCAGGTGTGTGGGACTCGGGGCTGAGATCTCCAAGCCTGCACGGTTTGGGACTGGACCTGCCAGTAACATAATAATATACACCCATAAATTTACAGTTGTTTAGAATCCTGCTTATGAAGCATATGTCTAGCAATGAACACAGGCTAGATTTTATTGGTAGAAATATCCAAATAGTAACTTTTGTCCACTGGCAATAAATCATATAGTTATTTCTATCTTAATATAAAAGAAATTGCCCTATAAGGGGCATTTTATACTTGGTTCATTCATATTTTATTATGCTTTTATTCATGTTTACTCACGTCTGAAAAATTGATATTGTGGGAAATGGAGAAGAAAAGATAATACTGGATGACAGTTATGGTTCGATATTACACCAAAATCACAGTCAGCACAAGCAAAAATAGACACATAAAATATCTGTGCATGGCAGCAGAAATCAACAAAAGATTGCAACCAGTGAAATAAGAGAGAACAACTGCAGATAATATCCTCAGAAGGAACTATACAGATATATAAAAAACTGATTTTAACACACACACACACACACACACACACACACACTCACAAACAGAGAAGCTTTTAACTCTATAAGAAACAAGGCAATGTGACAAGTTCTGCCAAGGATGTGTAAATGTGTACATTTTAATTTCCTTGAAATTTACACATTTACACACCCAAGGAAATTGAAATTCTGTGCACTCTGTGGGAAGAATATGTTTCCTCCAGAAAATATCAGGGAGGTTCCTCAAAACTTGTCAAATGCATGAGTATTGTAATGGACATGACTTATGAAGGGCCCTGAAAGAAGGAAAAGTGAGGCTAATTAAATAGAATGTTGATTATAAACAAAGCAAATTTGTTAAAATGTTATTTTATTTTTATTTTGTCTATAGATTCCTCTGAGTTAGATGAATTACATTTTTACTCACATCTTTTCCAAATCAAGCATTTGAAATTTGTGTTTTGAGGCCATGTATTTTATAGAAACACAGGTACAATGGTAGCACTGAAGCACTGTCCTCCCGTTGTTCATTGAACCTGGGTCGGCCGCATGCAAGGCAAATGCCCTACCTGCTGTGCTATCGCTCCAGCCTGGTACAATGGTAAACAAAAATATTTTCTTTTTAATTATTTTTCTTTTTGATAAACATGTTTTAAATTTGTTACATAATTTCTCTAAGAAAAACATGCAGATGAGGAAAAATCAGGATTACAAGGTATTTTCACCTCACTAAATATTATAGATTGTTTTCCACATAAAAAATGGTTCTTACTATTTATTTTCAACTGCTCAGCAATTGTTTTTATCACTCATGTCTGTGTTACAAAATTTATCATTATTCAACTTCATAATATTTTGTTTCTATATAAAGTAATATCTTTTTGCTATGATTTCTTTTTAATCCCATTAGGATCTCTCTATTGCTTAATAGCTAGCCATGCTTTAAGTTTTGTGATTTGCTCTTTTAGGACTTTCACCTACTTAAAATTGGGTCTATGAACATTTATTGATTTTCATGGTAATCAGCACAACATAATAGACCAGCCATTAACATATATGACTACGCCACATTATTTTTTTTTATCATTTTTTTTATTAGTGAAACACCATGAAGTACACTTATAGACTTATAAATTTTTGTGCTTGGGTTTCAGTTATACAATGATCAAGTACCCATCCCTCCACCAGTGCCCATCCTCCCCCACCACGGGTCCTAGCATCCCTCCCACCCCCCATCCTCCCCCCCCACCCCCCCCCCCCGTCCCACCCTGCCGCTGTGGCAGGGCATTCCTCCCTGTTCTCTCTCTCTTCTTTTGGGTACTGTGTTTTGTCAGAGAGGCATTGAGTGGCAGTCATGTTTGGTCTATAGACCACTTTTAGCATGTCTCTCCCACCCTGGGAGGGTCTTCACAACACCCTTTATTTGGTGCTCTCTTCTCTATCTGAGCTTCCTTCTCACCTAGCACATGTGGCTGGCCTTCAAGTCATGGAGCAAAATTCCTGGTACTAATCTGAGCCCTTCCTGGGTGTTAGTCTCCCGTTTTGTTGCTTTATGTTCCCCAGATGAATGCAATCTTTCTGTGTCTATCCCGCTCTTTCTGACTCATTTCGCTTAACATGATACTTTCCATGTAGTACCACTTGTATGTAAATTTCATAACTTCATCTTTTCTAACAGCTACATAGTACTCCATTGTGTAAATGTACCAAAGCTTCTTTAACCAGTCATCTGTTCTCGGGCACTCAGGTTTTTTCCAGATTTTGGCTATTGTAAAGAGTGCTGCAATGAACAAACAATTGCAGATGTCACTTCGACTATACATTTTTGCCTCTCTGGGATATATTCCCAGGAGTGCTATAGCTGGGTCAAATGGGAGATCGAATTCTAATTTTTTGAGAATCGTCCATACTGTTTTCCAAAAGGGTTGGACCAGCCTGCATTCCCACCAGCAGTGAAGGAGGGTCCCTTTCTCGCCACATCCGCGCCAGCACCTGTTGCTTTTGTTCTTGTGGATGTGGTACGCCACATTATTTTAATGAGTTATATAAGTTCACTAGAAATTAAAATTACTCATTCAGTTTCATTTCAAATATTCAATGGTTGCATGTCAAATAGTGACTACTAAATAGGAATATATATATAAAATGCTCTCAAGTTTTTATTTTTCTACAGAGAATATTTCAACAATAAAACTCTTATAAAATATTGAACTGATCAATTTAAATATTTTTTAAAGTTTGCCAGCTCTTTCTCTATATAAATGTATAGATATAAGAGCATATACACATATATAAGAGCATACAAATATATATTTACATGTATGCATATATATACATAAAGGGATCATTCCTGGCAGTGCTTGGGGAACCATATTTGATGCTGTGGATCAAGCCAAATTGGGGAAATGCAAAGCAATTGCCTTACCCAATGTACTCTCTCTCTGGCCGGAATACACTTACTTTCTAAATTGAAATCATGTAAATTTTTCTTCAATAAAATTATCTAATTTTACTAGTAATATTTTTAATCACATAAGGTAAATATTTTTGGACTTCTTATACCTATATTTATAACTAAATTTAAATCAATAATTTTAACAATTTAAGATAATATATAAGAGCAAATCCCTTTATTCTCATTAAGTCTTGAGTTATTTTCTATGAATCAATGTATTTTTATTAGGAAATTGCTCAGAATATAATTGCTTATAATAGCAATTTCAGCATAAATCCTACATTTCCACATTTAAAGCATTGTATTTGTATGTAATAAGTGAACAATACATTGAGCTACCTACTTAACATAAATAAGCAATACAGTGAAGTGAACTATCTATACATGGTTTATTAAAATAAGTCAATAAGCCACAAAATCAATAGAAACTATTTAGACGTTATTTTTAATAATTGTCATCTTGAGGCCAGAGAGATAGTACAGTGGGTAAGGAACTTGCCTTGCATGTAGACAACTAGGTTCTATCCCTGGCACACCATATGATCCCACAAACCCAACATGAATGATTCTGAGTACAGAGCCAGAAGGAAGCCCAATGCATCACTAGGTGTGCTCCCCAAAAAATAAAATAAAAAAGAATTGTCAATTACATATTTCCACATATGTTAGGTGCTTTTGTACAAATGTATGAAAATAATTTATTGCAGATTATAAGCACAAAATGTATATAGACTGAAAACCAACACTTTAGCT